TGTACTATTATGTGCTGTACAGCATATATCATATTAAACTAGTATATATATGAATAATACATTTTAGTTATATTAACAAGTATTCTTTAAAATCACCATTCAATGTGAATGTTAGGACTTGATCTGCATTTGTTCTCAAAACCGTTTTGGGCAAGATTTTTAACAGTGGCATCTACACACAGTTTCACACTACAGTTTTCATGGTATAAAAACATCAGTGTAGAGGACGCTACCTCGTGATGCAACTGGTGGAAAATGCATACTGTGTATTTCGTGCATGCAGTGACCACTTTATGTAACAAAATGTGCCAAATGCAAGCGTTATACATTCTTTTTAATTAATGTTTCCTCATGTACAAGTATTATTTGACGTTTAAGTATACACATGTAGCACAGCACTGTCGTAGCGTTGTTCGCTCTTTACTGTCATGGCCGTTTGCATGAGACTGCAGTAGTTCATGCGTTTGCGCGCGGGAAATCGCAGGGCGCAGGGAAACCGTTATATATATATTCAAAAGTGATTTTTACATGCATTCTAGTTCCTAAGTTTTAATGTATTATTGCGTAACTAGTACATTGTATGATGTAAGAGTGCATTGTGGTAAACTTCTTTCTTGAATAATAATGCATACATATGCGCGTTTTACACGCACTGTTCTGTTTTGATTGACGCCTGTGTTTCGATTTTTAATCATTGGCTGTGAAAATATATTCTATTCAGCAGGGGAAAATCAAGTCGTAGGAGAAGTATGGATCCAGCAGAACCTGCTGGTGCTTCTTTGTCAACAGGAATACATAAGGTGGTAAAATCTTCATCTTACAAAGCTGCGCGTTTGCTTTCGCACGGCGTCGAATCATGCCCGACGTATGAAATTGGCATCAAGGAATTTGAAGCCTTTGATGCCTTTGTGAATTGCGCTTTTTTTGAGTGGGGTGCATGGCGAAATGGGATAATGAAGCTGCGGTTGAAACCGGAGCTCATGAAATCCCTTGGAAAAAACGGCGGCGGTGAAGATGGTGAACAGCATAGGTCATGCTGGTCATCAATTGCAAATGTGAAGCTTCAAAGTGTTATACACCAGAAGCTTACGAAAGTGAAGGAAGAAGGGGTGTATGGAGTTGTGAACGAACCCACACCCCTTTTATTCAGTGTGACAGCGGTGGATTTTTACAACAAATCTAAAGAATTAAGTGACTCTTATTGTGCTGCTGATTTGGAGAGTGTTGCACCAGCCATGGGATCAGGCAAACCGCCTGATTATGATGACAATAAGGACCATCAGCCTTCAGAAACACCAAGTACCCAATTTGATGCTACGTTTGGAATGGGTAAACGCATGGCGTTTTGGAGTTCACTGGATAAACTCACCGTCGGAGCTTCAACAGATATAAAACCGTATGTGACGGAATTGGAAATTCCCCCACAGACAAAGAAGCCAGAAAAGGTTAGTTAAAATTTAATTTATTGCTTATATATAAGGATGAGTGTTTTGAATGCTATATATAATGGGGTTATAGGTTAAGTGTATTGATGGGTTGTTCTGTTATTATTAATTTGAAGTTTGTGCTGTGATTTGATGGTTGTGCATATAATATTTTAAAAATGTTATATTAAGCATGTATTGCTTTTTTAGCGCGCGCCGTTCATTTGTTACAAGTCTTTTTAGCTAGTTCTACATTATTTTTAGCGCGCGTGTATGCTTTTTTAGCGCGCGCTGTTCATTTGTGTGAGCACAAATGAACAGTGACCATACAACCAGGGTTGCAAAACCCCAAATGAACCAGAATCCATGGGAAGGGATTCGAACCCAGGAGATCAGAAACACTAGCCAACCTCCTAACCGACTGAACTAATCACCTTTTTGGGAAGTGACAATGAATGAAAAACGCATGCTGCATTTTTGACAAGTATGCGCAACTTTTGTGGACACGCACGCTGCTTTATTTTTCAGTGTGCGCTCCATTTCACAATACGCATGCTGCTTTATTTTGCAGCGTAAGCTACATTTCAGAATGCACACGCTGCTTCATTTTGCAGTGTGCGCTCCATTTCACAATGCGCACGCTGCTTTATTTTGCAGAGTGCACTACATTTCAGAATGCGCACGCTGGTTTTTTTTACAGTGTGTGCTCCATTTCACAAAGCGCACGCTGCTTCATTTTGCAGTGTGCGCTCCATTTCAAAATGCGCACGCTGCTTCATTTTGCAGTGTGCGCTCCATTACACAATGCGCACGCTGCTTGAATTTGCAGGGAGCGCTACTTCTTTTCAGCGCATGCCACGTAAAACGGGAAAGACGCGCTGGTGAAAAAACGGGTGAAAATAAAAGGCGCACCAATGCTTTGTGCATCGGTGCGCTCTTTATTTTTCACCCATTTTTTGAAAAATGTGTGATTCACCCGTATATGACGGCTGAATCTCCCTTTGCGGTAACTAAGCAGCCGTTTGGAGAAAACGGGTGCTCAGCAGAACCACCCGTATGCCGAAACAGGTGGTTCAGCGGGTGATCACCCGTTTTTTTTCGACCCAGTACCCGTTTCCCAAAACGGGTGGCCGCTACCCGTGTATGACGGGTCTTTGACAGGTGGAAATACGGGTAAATTATTTGCTGGGTATAGATCAAGAAATAAAAAAAACTTGAGAATAATCTTCAAGATTACAATAATTTAAGAGAAACCATTGAAGAAAATTTGAATATGGAAGAGCAACAACAATCAATCAATCAAGATCTATCCCACTTTGTTGTACAGTCTATGCTAAAGCCCAAGAACAAACATAACCCAATTTGTCATGCAATACTGTATTAACATTTCACAAATACTTGTATTAGTATTACCTACAGCTGAAGAAATGCTGTTTTAGAATAAATCCAAAGGTAGAATTCTCTCTACTAGCAAGAGTAATACCTGTACTTTTATAAAGTCTCTACCAATGTTTTCTGGTGACTGTAAAGATATATCATGGACTGATTGACGCATAAAATGTCTAGCTACCCTAGCAGCAAGATCTATGAAACAAGACAGTATTGAAAAATGCAATGAAGCTATTCAAACAGCTTGAGAGTTCCCACAATCATTTGCATCAAGTCTACTCAGTACCTTACTGCTGAAACACATTCTAAACCAGCAATAGCCATCAACAATAATATATTGTACCTACAATAGTAGAAAATGAAAAACCTCCTGACCTTGATAACACTTCTTTGCATGAACCAATTGTTTCAGAAATACATACAGGGACAATAATATGACAACCAGTTATAAAATATGCTGATGCAGAAGTCATTGCTGAACAAAAAAATATGACAAAATAAAACAAAAGGAATCATGCCAATCAACCTTGAAAGGACCAGAACCTGAGCAAGAATCCACAGTCAACAAATCTGCATGTGCAAAAGCAGAATAGAATTTTTTTCAAGTTCTATATCCTGGGGCCTGTAGCCTCAAATTGTTTTATGAATAATTTTCATCAACATCAATATTTTATTTTGAATAGATGTTTTTACCTACTAACCAACATATGATAAAACTTTGATGCATATTGATACAATATAATAGAATTGATTATATCTATTATGATGACAGAAGTAATTTGAGTGGGTTACGCTGCATAGGTCAGTCTGGCTTTTTTTAAATCTGACAGCCTGCTTGAATTTCAGCAGGCCAACTTGCCTGAGATCTCTGGAAGTGAGTGGCCCATTCCAAAGCAGATCCAGCCACCACTAAATAAGTTGAGAGAGCTACCACATCAGCAATATATCCAAGTAATAATACCTAAAAAGAACATCTCCAAACTTCAGAGAGTTAAAACCCAACTGTTCCACCTACAGTTTAGCCTACATCCTGCATATTGGATGGAAGGAAAGCCAACATAATGGACAATTTTCCCAACACAAGAAAACTAAAGGTACAGCATGTCCCCAGGAAAGAAACTAATTCCTCGGAAAAGAAAGCCCCTACACCATTCTTTTCATTTCATGGAGCTAACAGCATCTGGCCAGACGCTTGCACTGGTTTTGCTGGTCAAGACGCCCCGGAATGATCATAACCGAATATTAAAAATAAAATAAAAAATGAACTACAGTAGGCGGTTACAGGTACTGAGCGCGTAGCTAGTGCGGGGGTACCTTCCGCGCATGTCAGGATGCATGGGTGGAAGTGCTTTGGCCGTGACCCAGCATGTCAGGGGTCGTTCTGAGGAGACAAACCTCAGCAAGTTCTGGGGTTCTTTCTTTAGTTTCCAGCGCGCGGGCTTGGGAGGTGCCTATCCCTCCTACGAGGTTGATGGCACTCTACCACATTTTTTCTTGTCCGAAACTATGTCCCTTGAAAAATACATACTCATTTACTCATTTATTTATGCTTCTGATCTTACATTAGATTTCTCCGGGAAATCTTGGAGAATTTTTTAAGCGTTGTCTGTACACCTGCATATTTTAACATAGTGAGCACCGATATTCCCCGAATAAAGAAGTGATCGTCTACTAGAATATTTTTGTACATTCCCAATTTCAAAGTCTGCGCATTTTTCAAAAACCGGATTTTACCAAAGCGACTTCCCTCAACGTATTTATTCCTTCACTTCTGGAGACCTCGTGCAATATTTTCCGGATTGAGGAAAGAGTCATATGAAAAAAGAATTTTTTCACTTGGAAATTTTTGAATTTTCAGTGTGAAATTCAATGGAGTGTGTTTAAAATCTGGGTTTTTGATACAGAATTAATCTGTACCTATTGCTGCATGCCTATCCTTGAAAGCTGCGTTCAGGAATCCTACAGTAATTTTATATCGTGAATATGGCTTCCATGAAGGGAGAGGAAATTATTTTTCAGTCTCATCAAGGTGTTGCTAAATTTTTAATCAACGTCGTTTCAAAAAATATTTTAACCTCGTTGACGGAGCAGAGGGAACACCGCTGCTGCTGACACGCATTTGGGAATTTTTAATTCTGTTTAGGAAGCATGGGAAGTGAATGAAAGCGCGGGATATCGTTTTCAAGAATGGAATTCAACTACACTGACGTGAATGAAACATGTCAGAACGAGTTGGGAGATGTAATCCCATGCAACTCGTCCAACTGCGTGCCTGGTGCAACAGATGATCGGGAAATCCTGGCCCTCAAGGTGTTCATGACAGTGATCTACACTGTGATCTTCATCACAGGCTTTTTGGGCAACATGTGCACTTGCCTCGTCATCAGCCAGAACCGCTACATGCAAACCGCCACCAATTACTACCTGTTCAGTCTCGCGGTCTCTGACTTGCTCTTTCTCATGCTCGGATTCCCCGACGAAATGAATAAGACGTGGAATAAGCGGAATTACGTATTTGGTGCCGCGTTTTGCTGGTTGCGAGGCTTGGGTGCCGAGACTTGCGCCAACGCCAGCATCCTCATAATCGTGGCATTCACTGTGGAACGTTGGATCGCATTGTGTCACCCATTCTCCAGGGCTCATCACAGCGGTACTCGACTAGGTCGTGTGACGAAGATCATCTGCACATTGTGGGTCCTCGGTCTCATTTTCGCGGTTCCACAAGTGACACTGCTCGGGATGGTCCAAGAAGTGACTTGCGATGGACAACCGATCCCGGATGAGCAAATCTGCTCCATTGACCAAGAGTACAACAACTATGCTCGATACGCATTCCAGGCGTCCACGTTTCTCCTGTTTGTGTTGCCAATGGTCATCATTTCGTTCCTTTACATTCGGATTTGCTTATCGCTGTCGCGCAGCGAACGGTACTTTGACGGGGACACCAAACTGTCTTACCGGAGCACCATGAGCAAGAACCGCAGGACTTTGCCGGAGCAGGCTGCTCAGGAACTTGGGGATGATCAAGACCCTGGCAGGCCATCGACTTCGCAAGTGCATCGCACTGGAGTCGAGAACTCGAAAGCCAACGTCATAAAAATGCTCGGTATGTGCAACCTATTTGTACAGTATAATTAATTATTCCGGGAATCCTTACTAATTTTCCTTACAGCTGCGGCGATCAATTCAAAATTCAGTTATCCTGAAACTACTGTATCTTTTAAAATTTTTAACAATATTTTACAGGATAATTTGAAAGAATCTAGCAGTTTTTTCTTTCATAAATCAGAATACATCTTCGAAATACTGCGTTGAAAATATTCTACAGAAGTGATTGACATGAATTATATTGGAAATTTTGGACCAGATGACATATTTTCAATATGAGTATCAACTCGATCTTTCATCATATGGTCAAACGTTTTAATTTTTACGCCTCAAAAATACATTTCCCTAGGAATGGGGCGAGAGAAAGCGAATGAGATTGGTTCAAAAAGGCCTCCCCGTCCAGAATTTCTGATTAATTATAACTATTTAATTAAAAATTCTTCTGTAACGGGTGAAGTTGGAAAAGCAAATGTATTTTTTGTTGCTCCTTATATTGATCTTCACACTATTTTCAATGGAAATCAATTTTCAACAGTGGAAACTTAGCAGTCTATAATATTTTAGGTTTAAATTGATAGGCTCCTGATCATCCGCAATTTTTCAGCATTTCGAGGTATACTGAAGCCAGGTGATTATACCGGGAAATACCGGATTTTTTTTATTTGGCCGAATTAACGAGTGCCCAATTTTTGTGAAAGCTTGGAGGGAAAGAAGAAAGTAGAAGGCATAACGGAATAAATAGTTTGGTAGATTCTTTTGGAATGCGTGGGTATTTCCCCGGGTAAAAATTACGGCACGCGTACTGTGGCACATGAGTGAATTTTGTATGTTCTTGACATAGAAAGAGGAACTAATGGAAACATGGTCCTTCCGCGTCCTTTTCTCGAGAAGATCATGTAGGAACTCGATAATCTGAAAGTGGATTCTGCTGAAATAACATATGGGTGGACTTCATTTTCACGAGAAAAACAAACCGTGAAATCCGGAAGACGTCTTTTCAGGCTTGAAATACTCGTATCAGTGTAGAACCGGGCAGCCAAATCCTGTCACGAATTGCGTTCATGGAATTCCCAGGGAACAGGCATTCCGGGAAATGAAACATACTTCGAAGCTCAACTTCTCGCCTGACTTAAAAACGCCTGAAATAGGAGAACAGTTTGCCTTTTTTCAGCTTAAAAGGGCCGAAATATCACGGAGTAATTTTTTTCGTAGCGTGTTGTAATTCATTGCAGTTTGCATCGTCGAGAATAGACAAAATAAAATGAAAAATTCAAGGCGAATTATAGCATTAGTTCCTTATTCAAAATGATTATTAATTATACTTAAAATCGGAACATTAGGCTTACGCATATTTTAACATTTTATCAATTTGGACTATATTTTCGAGGTAACGGAACAGACTCGTAATTTCTCTGAACTCAATTTTTCGGAAGCCGTTGCATGATTTTTACGTAATCTTTTGCAAAACAGCTGCAATTTCGTGAATTTTCGCGGGGAAATTAAATGGGTCATATTTAAAAGCATTCTGAAGACCCCAAAAAAAAAAACGACTTAGACGAAGAGCCCTTTTTCTGCTTCGCAGAAATGAGACATCATTCCAACACCTTTGTTGAAGCCCTCCAATTTTATGGTTGAGTCAGACGACACCTAAACATTCACAGCAGTTGTCACTTCTTCCGGTGCTTTCAGGTACTGTACCTCTATTCTGACCTCGCGCACGAGAAAAAAACAATGCCATTAGACACGCTTGCTGTGCAAATGAGAGGACTTTTTGCAATTTAATTCCCATCCTAGGTGACGGATGTCTTTTTTCTAAGCTTGAAAAAAACAGGCATTCGGTCTCTGGAAAATCCGTAAACATGAGACGACCTCCTCGAAATAGCGATTCCCCCCGTCTCTGGATTTTTTTTTTTGCAAAAAGGCTGGCAAGGCCGCGTAAAAATCCCGCGTTGGCACTAAGCGTCGCACGGCACCTCTCTTGAAAACGGCTTGTTGCTGAGCTGCATGCATTATTTTAGTTGTAGTGTGTCGTGAAACAAATGAGACCCCACCAAGAGCTCCTCTTGATCTCAGCACAGATTTACCCATACAAACCAGGGTTGAAAGCTGGTTGTTTCGGTGGAAAATCTGCGACCCAGACGAAAGAGTGTAACGAGACAATTTATTTATCAACATCCACACGTCGCGAGTAAATGTCAACGTTGACTTTTTCGCTTTATTATTCGGTGCCAAACCGGAAGCAGATGCGCATCATTGCTTGTCGCTTTTGGTACGAAAGTTTCTCAATCGAATTTTGAAAAAAAAACTCATTTATTATTCTAACACAGAAATTTGGGTCAGTGTGCATGATCTTCACTTGTCCATCTCTGTCTAGAGTCTAGACCGTCCGTATCTCACAGGTTTATTTTCTAATGGAATAGGAGATATGAGGTTTATTTTGGCGCTATACGTTCGAAAAAGGATTGATTTATTCTTTTAAAATATAATAAGTTCATGGTTCGTATCCTGCGCCCCCAGTTCTTTGATACATTTTTCCAGGGGCAGGGCCACTATACGTTCCAGAGGAAAAGGGAAGACAAGTTCAATGAAATTGAAGATCAGGGTTGGTCTGCAAATTAAAGGCAGGAGTCTTTCTGGTCATGACCAACCGTAAATACAGTGAGGCCCTAGCTGAGATAATTACTTAATTGGATTTCGGACCTTGTGGATTTGGATATGGATATGCTGAAACATCTTCATGTTGGATCACATTTTCCAATAAATTTTATTGAGAACATATTTCAATGGTTCTCCTGTTGGTCAAAAATGTGGAAAAAATCCCACTTCAAATCCAATAAAAAGTTTTTCACGTGATTTCAAGATTCACCAAGGAACTTTGCAGAAGAAAATTCACACAGAATCTGCCTTTTTGGCATGAAAAGAAGCCCAAAAATCAAAGAACATGCACACCTCTCAATATAGACGTCCTCTGCACAGATGATGAAAAACCCCAAAAATATAAATATAAAATAATTCCATTTTTGATTATCGATTATTGTGAACTGCAAATAAAATTTATTCTGAATATTTGTGAATTTAAATATCTCAGTTAGTTCAATATAAAAAATTTTTAATTTCGAGTTTTTATAGAAATGTTGACAACGTTTCTATATTGTGAGACATTCTTCGGATTTTGGGGCAGATTCTTTAACTTTCTGGTAAGTTGAATCGTCCATACCTTGGGGCATCCGTAAGTTGGGGACAAAACAACACGAAAAAGGTGAGAAGTCTTTTACGTTGACGGCAAAAAGGGCTGTGCAAGTCAAAAACGTTGGAAAAACCTCAGCTTCTGTTAATGAGCACACATTTGTGTTCAACTTATTGCGTGCACGGAATCAGTTTTCAGTGGAAATACGCCATGCTTATCATAATTGAGATCTCGTTGAGAATACAGTAGTTATGTTCCTTGGGAAGAGTGTTGGATATTTATATTACGAAGGAAGTACTGTACCTTATTATTTTCGCTAGTGAAAATTTTCTTGCATCCAGTACTTCAGCCATGATACAATGCAGCCAGCACATCGAACATGCTAAAACACATAAGGTAAAAAAAGGTGAGCAGGGTTTCCAATCATTTTTTCGTTAGCTCTGATGTGATTCGCTGCAGTCTCGCCTGAAGAGAATTTGATTTTGTTCAAAAATTCATCGAAACACGATGCACTTTCACGCTATTGAAATCCTCGTTAGAAGTTTTCGGTCCACGGGTTTTCACCACATGTTTTTTACAATCTTAAGACTTGAAATACAAAACCAATATGTTACCTAATATCCGAAAAGAATTATCATTTTGAAAATTCGTGGTGAGGCAATTCAGTATTTCATGTTTCCCCGGGCTAATATAGAATGCTACCGTCCATGTCGGATAATATATCTTGACAGACTCGTTCGGCAGCATTTTAATTTTTTCAGGAGCCTTACGCGGTCAAATCGGTTTAAATATAAATCTCCCGATACATTTCGTACAGATATCAGGAGCGCAGGCGGGATATAATTTTCCCCTCTGACAATTTGAAATTGAGTCCTCTACTCAGATTTAAGCTGGACCAGGAAACCTTTGCTGGGGTCATCTTCAAACTCTATCTAATTCCATGAAAATCACCTTTTCGTGCCATGACATATCTCCCACGCTTGCAGACGCATTCAGGAATTGCAACTGACCCATTACGCATTTCTTGTGAACATGACCTTTGAAACCATCGCAGGAAAATTACGGAATATCTTATGGAGCACATTGCAAGCGGGGTCTCATCGGAAGAATTGGCGGTGAATGTTGTTTGAGAATTTTTCGTGTAACAATTTCCTCTTCAAAATTTGTCATGATACCATCCTGGTACTAGGGCTTCTGAAACCTTCGATTTTCTGTGGTAAACGCAGACTCTGCGGCTTCCTTCTTTGCAATGCAGTACTTTCATAAAATTTTCAACCGAATTATATGGCAACGTCCTCTCGCTTCTATAGATAAAAATCATTACAGTACTAATATTCACAGTGATTAGATGTCGGAAATTATTCGCAGCAAATATTGACTTTTTTTCAAGTATAGGTACGGAGGCGCGTTTCAATTACTGCACCCCGAAAATAATGTGTGTAAGATGTCCATGTGCACTAGAGACAACGAAAATTGTCTTTATGGCTTTATTCTAGCTTATACAATCACCCTGCGTCGCCACAAATCAGGCAGCCTCAAGTGTATTTTGATTGGCTCACCTTTCCGACTGAATTTTTCAATATAAAATTGATCGTGTATGAGGAGTTTGAGGACCACGCTAAATACATTTCAGCATTCATGATGTTTCCTCGACATGTTTCAAATTTTGTACCTGATTTGAGACGTAAGACTGAAGTATTTAGAGATGTGTGAATAAAATATGTCAATATACCGGTATTCATGCAGCATCCCTCAGAACTGGCAAACATTGCCTCGAGAAAGCACTTTAAACAATTTTTAATGCGCATTATTCGGCCATGACGACGTCTTATCTGGGAATTTT